ATTGCAAGAGGCGGAGAGTTCAAAAGGGCAGGTGCTGCCACACTAAACAACGCAGTGCTGAAAAGGGGGTGAAACGCAAGCGGCCAGCCTCGCAGGGTTGTGGAAGGAGGAGCTCGTGGGAGGAAAGGAGGTGCCATGGAAATGCCATTCTTTTTTTTAAAAAAAAATAATATTTATTAAAGTTTTAAAGGTTGCACAAGAAAAAGAAAAAACACCAAATTAAACAGAAAACAAAACAATACATCACAATAAAAAAGAGCAAAAAAGAAAAATACAAACAATTACAAAAACAGTTAAAACCTTCACATAGCTTATCTTTCATTTGCTTGTTTCCTTGACCTCCTCACACCTCCTTTTTTGTATTCTATTTTTTAAAAAATAATTTTTATTCGTTTTCACAACAAACAAAAGACAACACAACAAACAAAACACACACAACAAAAGCATATAAAATAAAAAATGACTTCCCCATACCTCCCTTTCTCTGCATGCTTATTTTGCGATTCTTTAGCAACCCTTAAGTCCAATTCTCTATTTAATTCTCTTAAAATTTCCTTGAAATAATTATTTACCGCTGTAGTTCTCTTTTTCTTACCCCTTAACATCTTAACAGTCCTCAATTTTACAACAGTTTTTAAGGTAAATTTTGAATTTCTTCCAGTCCTCTTCCACCGCCTCTTTCCTCTGGTCGCAGATTCTGCCGGTCATCTCTGCCAGTCCCATGAATTCTGTCACCTTTGTCTGCCATTCTTCCAGAGAAGGTAGTTCTTGCATCTTCCAATACTTTGCCAAAAGAATTCTTGCTGCTGTGGTTGCATACATAAAAAATGTCCTATCCTTTCTTGGCACCAGTTGGCCCACCATGCCCAAAAGAAAAGCCTCCGGTTTATTTGAAAATGTCCCCTTAAGGACTTTTTTAAATTTCAAAAGGCTTTAATCTTTGGGCAGGTCCACCAAAGGTGGTAGAAGGTTCCTTCAGACTCATTACATTTCCAGCATTTATTATTGGGCAAATGGTAAATTTTTGCCAGCTTGACTGGGGTCATGTACCACCTGTAGATCATTTTCATTATGTTCTCTTTTAAGGCACTACATGCCGTAAACTTAATACCCGTGGTCCATAACTGTTCCCACTCAGCAAACATAATGTCATGACCGATGTCCTGTGCCCATTTAATCATAGCTGATTTAACCGTTTCCTCCTGTGTATTCCAATTCAACAGCAAGTTATACATTCTAGACAAATTCTTAGTATTGGGTTCTAACAGTTCTGTTTCTAACTTTGACCTCTCCTTCTGAAATCCTAATTTCCTGTCCTGCTTAAATGTCTCGTTTATCTGATAGTAATGTAACCAATCTCGAACTTTGAGCCTTAGTTTCTCAAAACTCTGAAGTTTAAACTTTTCACCATCTTGTTCTAGGATTTCACAATATTTTGGCCAATTGGAATCCATATTAAGCTTTTTCACCGCCTTAGCTTCCATTGGTGACAACCACCTAGGGGTTTTACTTTCCCCTTTTTTGTATTCTAGTTCTAAAAGTAAAGAGCCTCCGTCTCTCACTCCTCCAAACGAGAGCCAGGTGTGTGTGTGTGTGTGTGAACATATAGAGTGAGGAGAGAAAGTATTTGATCCTCTGCTAAATTTGCTTTTTTGCTCTCTGACGAAGAAATGCCTAGTCCACAATATTAATGGTAGGTTTATTGTAGCTGTGAGAGACAGAATAACAACAGAGAAACCCAGAAGACAAAAGGCAAAGATTGATGATGATGATGATTATTTTTTTTTTGGTTCTTGTTCCTACTTTTCTCTTTTATTTATTCCCAATATCATCCCGATCTTAATCCTTTATCTTATCTTGACAGCCACTGGCATGCAACTTTAATCATATTCAGATCTATATGTAAATTAACATGCATGATGAAAATTGTGCTCTTCTTGTTGTTGTCCCTCAATTGTTTTCGGTGCAGTCCCTCCTCAGAAGGCCCTATTTCATTCCACCGTCTTACCTTCCAGGACTCTGGGCTGTCTTCCAGCTTTCCTTTGTTTAGTTAAAATTAAGACACATGTAATGTATTTTAATGGACTGATATTTTCCCAAACCGAAGAATCTTCTGGAAGAGACCACACTGTGCGATAGATTTCACAGTTAATACTTGTTTGGTTCCTCTACAATCCAAGCTTGCTCCCCCTGGGCCCTAAGGGAAGCTTACAAAGATCAAAGATTCACCTTCACTTTTATAAATCCATATATGAAAAAAATCCATGCAAGCAGATGTGGTTTCCTGTGTGAAATATTCCCCAGTTGTAATCTGTCAGTTGTCTGCAGCCCTCTTTGAGAGGGACCCCTTTTTTTCTAATGTGCCATCATTTGCACCATTTTAGCATCCCCAGCCGAAAAAATATTTAATCTTGTACAGTGGTGCCTCGGGTTACATATGCTTCAGGTTACATACGCTTCAGGTTACAGACTCCGCTAACCCAGAAATAGTGCTTCAGGTTAAGAACTCTGGGGCTGCAGTTTTCAGGCTTGGGGACAGGATGATGACTGTTTTTGGCATCAAGTTCTGTCCATAAACCCCACTGAGTACAATGGGATCTACTCTAGGTCATTACTGTGCAGACCATGCCAGCCTTATGAAGTGGGGTGAGGAGCAAAAAAAATGAAATGGAAATCAATGGAGATGTTTAGAAATGGGGCTTCTGGTTCCGGTCTGCCTTAATGGATCCTGCTCCCAAGATAGCAGAGATTGATAGCAAAGAATAAACAAGGAAGCTTTGAGGGTAATTGTCCTTGCAAGCTCCCCCCAGGGCCTGGGGGGGAGTGAACTTCACTCGCAGATTGTCTCGATACCTGGCTCTTGCTCCACCATGGAATCTGAGAGGCAGCAAAATCACTTTGCCTATTGGTAGCCCTCCTACTCGGCCATTAAGAAGCAGAGGTACTTCTGTTTATTAGAGTGAAATTAGAACTAATATACAGACATGTGCTGGAACAGAAGGAACAAGATCATAAACTGCTAAATTGAAGCAGATACAATGCCAAAACGATTCAAACCGCAAAAAAGACTTCCTTCGATGCAAAATATTTACTCTTTCTTTATATATATATATATCATGTTTGCAACATAAATGATTCAGCAGCACGCACACACGCACCCCCCCGAATGCTAACAAACTGATAAAAAGCAAGAGGAGATAAAAGAGAATGGGATTATACTTCTGGATTACAATGAAAAAGAGAACTATGTGACAAAATTGAAATGGATTTAAAGTCCCAAAGTTTCACTGTATTCCTATGGAAGGAAATGGAGTTTGAGCTTTGATGATCGGCTAAGGCTTTGGCAGGACGCCAGATCGTTATTGAGAGAGTTGGAGAAGCTGGAGTCTTGCCAGAGCTTTGGTGGGACGCCAGATTACTCTCTATCTAGACTCAAACAATAACAAAAAAGGGAGAGAAGATGGCGTGTGACGCAGTTGAAATTACAGCCTCATTCTCTGATAAGACTGTATTTCAACAAAGTCTCTTCATATTTTCAAACAAGCTGATACCTTGCCAATAATAACTAGAGCCCTCCACAAAGGACCGCACCATTAAACATCAAATTCTCAAGTTTTTTTTAATATAGTTTCACTTGCATTCCATTTCATTAATTGACTCTTTCTCCACGAGGCTTGCCAAATCATGAAGTAGCTGGCAGTACTGCAGTGTTTCATTCTATCATTGCACAGTGTGACACTGTGCCTTTAATTGTCTAATTATCTAATGTATCATCGTGTGAGAACGGGAGCTATTTCTATCCCCTCTGGTGCGTGAGTCAGCTCTTCGCTCTGTTGACTTTGTTAGGATATTTCCATTCCACCTTAAGAAGGGAGCAGGTTGTTGTGTCACAGCCTGCGTATTTCCTGTTCACAGGATGTTTCTGTTTATGTATATAGCTTTTGTTTCTTCTCTCTGTGTGCCTGAACATCGAAGCAGGCAGTCATGTTTTTCTTTGTTCTGATCAACGCTGAATAAAGTTGTAAATAATGCTCTCCTGAGTGCACCTTTCGTTGTGCGAACTCTGCTGATAGAGCGTGCACGAGCCCTGGAATGTGGCAAACTATTTCTGCAGCTCGTGTCGCTAACTGACTGATACTGTATCTACGGGAGATCGATGGATCGTCCGGAATCGACGTGGGGTCATGATGGCCTTTGTCTCCCTGGCAGTATCCCAACAGTCTTCTTATTTTCTTGATGCTGCATTCCAGCCAGAGTCTGCTTCTGCTGTACTCTGCTACTATGGGCGAAGTTCCTCACCATTCGGACAAGTGAGGGAGGGCGTTGGCCCAACAGCACTAAGTATCAAAAAAGATGAAACGCTCACCTCACATCTTCTGTAGCAGAGCGACAAAAGTCCTTTCAAAGTCTGAATTCAAATCTTTGTTGAAAAACAGGAATGCTCCCGCTCATGGTGTTGGCATCGGAGAGTGTCCAATTCGTGCAATGCTAAACACCCAGCGCCCCTGCCTCCACTGCAGCGAGCGGCAGATATCGGACGGCGTGCGGGTGAAGGCACATCCGCCCCATCTCTGCGGGGTTCAACAGGGATAATTACCCACAGATTCACCTTGTTTAATTGCACGACTGGGGTCCGGTGTCCTGGGAAAGCAGCCAAACGCCATAGGCCATCACACCGGAAGTCTTCTCCAAAGTCTTTTTTATATTTTCTCTCTGATAGTAAGAGCTGACAGTGGAAAGGAACTCTCTCAGAAGGGGGTGGACCTTCATTGGGGGGTTTTAAGAAGAAGCTGGATGGTCATGGCTGCTTGAAATGAGATTTCTGGAGGAGGTTGGACTAGATTCTGAATCCATAATTCTATTCTTCACCCTGGTGTGAGATCTTAAATTGACTTTTGAACAAGTGAAATTTTATACACATTCCATGTGCTGATATGCTTTCAACCCTGTATGAATTATTTGGTGGGCCATGAATGAATCTTTTCCCACATTCCAAACACTTTCTCTCTTGTATGGATTCTTTGATGGGAAGTGAGATGGGTCCTTTGAGTGAAGCGCTTCCCACATTCTGAGCACTGATACGGTTTCTCCCCTGTATGAATTCTGTGATGAGAAGTGAGATTCCCCTCGTGACTGAAGCGCTTCCCACATTCCAAGCACTGAAAGGGTTTCTCCCCTGTATGAATTCTTTGATGGGAAGTGAGACTATACTTCTGATTGAAGCTCTTTCCGCATTCCAAGCACTGATAGGGTTTCTCCCCTGTATGAATTCTTTGATGGGAAGTGAGGTGGTAGCCCTCCCGGAAGCTTTTCCCACAATCGAAGCACATATAGGGTTTCTCCCCTGTATGAATTCTTTGATGGGAAGTGAGATCACAACTCAGACGAAAGCTCTTTCCACATTCCAAGCAGTGATACGGTTTCTCTCCTGTATGAATTCTTTGATGGGAAGTGAGACTATCCTTCCGACTGAAGCTCTTTCCACATTCGAAGCACTGATAGGGTTTCTCCCCTGTATGAATTCTTTGATGAGAAGTGAGATTCCCCTCGTGACTGAAGCGCTTCCCACATCCAGAGCACTGATAGGGTTTCTCCCCTGTATGAATTCTGTGATGGGAAGAGAGTGCGCCATTTTGACTGAAGCTCTTTCCGCATTCCAAGCACTGATAGGGTTTCTCACCTGTATGAATTCTTTGATGGGAAGTGAGCTTGTGCCCGTCCCGGAAGCTTTTCCCACAATCGAAGCACATATACGGTTTCTCCCCTGTATGAATTCTTTGATGGGAAGTGAGATTCCCCTCGTGACTGAAGCGCTTCCCACATTCCAAGCACTGATAGGGTTTTTCCCCTGTATGAACTCTTTGATGGCAAGTCAGATCACCACTCCGACGAAAGCTCTTTCCACATTCAAAACACTGATAGGGTTTCTCTCCTGTATGAATTCTTTGATGGGAAGTCAGATGACCCCTCAGACGAAAACCTTTTCCACATTCGAAACACTGATAGGGTTTCTCCCCTGTATGAACTCTTTGATGCAAAGTGAGATTATCCTTTCGATTGAAGCTCTTTCCACATTCTCTGCACTGATACAATTTCTCCCTACTCTGTGTTATTTTGTGTGAAGTGAGGCTATTCTTTCGAATGAAGCTCTTTCTTTGATGGGAGGTGAACTGGGAGCTCTGACGGATCTTCTCTCCACACTCTGAATATTTATCTGACTTCTCCGCTATGTGGATTCTGTTGTGCTCCCCCTTGTTCTTCCCTTCTGATTCATCACCATCTGCAATGAAGAGAGATGCTAATTAGAGTCTCAGGAGGAAATGGGAACTCCAGATTATTGAACAATGTTAATGAATGCTTGTGACAGAGGAAGAACTGAAGAGAATGAGATGTGGACTTCCGGTCGGCGCCAGCGTTTAATGGCGGTCCTTGCTTCGAGCTCCGAAGCAGGACTGCTCCGCGAGTTCGGGTCTGACCCGCTACGGCGAGCGGGGGACCCCTAAAATCACAGGCGCTGAAGCCTGTGAACAAGGAGATTCGGTGGGCACCTTTGCGCCCCCCGGTACTGTGAAAGAGCCTTTTTAAAGGCTCCGGAGCGGCACTGGGAGTGAGCGCGGTGCTGAGAATCGCTACCCAGCCCGCGGAGCGAAGCCGCGTTGCCATTGACGGAGAGCGCCGATTCCTTCCTGAATCTACAGATTGGATCAAATACCCGTGAGTAAGAACAAGGGAACAAAGATTTTACGGGACTTTAAATTTGGAAAATTTGGCTGAAAACGGGAAAGGCAAAAAGTAAGGAAGTCTGCCTTCCGGAGCTGCATGGAAATCAAGCAATGAAAAAGTAAGCTGTCTTTAAAAGAAAATTTGTTTTTATACTGCTGAACCTGACATTGAAGAGGGACCTCCCTCCCATCGGGCAGGAGTTGGGGGGAAAGAAAATTGGACTTTTTAACCTGCTTTAAATGACTTTTGAAAAGAAATCCCGCACTGTCAAATCCTCTGGCCAGGCTGCCTGAATAACAAGCGCCTGAGAAGTGAGCTGTCAAAAACAGATTAAGGATACAAAGTAGAAGATTTATTTGACATTAAATAACGGATATTAGTGGATATACTTGTAACGTCTTAAATTGAGACAAAGTTAAGGTCCAAGGGAGAATATTGGAACTTTTTTGTTTTTTACTGCTACATGCTTTGTTTCTTTGGAAATTTCCTATGGACATACCTACTCCCTCTAGAGGACTAAAAAAGATACAGTTGCATTAAGGGGAAAGTAGTGGGATTTTCCACTTACAAGTTTTTCCTGTGAGAACGACCTTGGCTATGAGCACTCCACTGGATGAAATATCAACAAGATCCAAAACAAAGCAGGCTCAAAAGAAAAGAGGCTCTATACCAGGAGTACCAGCTGCACAGGAAAAAGTAACAACAGCATCAATGGATTCTATGACACAGGCACTGATTAGAATAAATCAATCTTTGGAAGCACTTACCAAGCAGTCTACAGAGAACTCTAAGAAATTGACAGAACTGACAGCAAGATTGGACTTGAACACAACGACAATATCATCTAATACAGATTCTATAAATCGTCTAATTCAAGAAAGCACGGAAACAAGGAAAATAGCTGAGAGCGCTAAGAGCACTGCTGAGGAGACTAAGGGAAAATTTGTGCCTATTGCAAAGAAAGTATATGAACATGATGCAGCTTTGGCCCTTATGGAACTGGAGAGGAAAGGGAAGAATTTGAAATTGAGACTGGTACCAGAGGAGGAAGAGGACAACCTTGGAGAATTTCTCACAGACAAGTTCCAAGAATTCTGGAATGATGAGTTAGAAGGAGAAGAAGATGAATTTGCAATAACTACAGCCTTCCGGATTGGCAGGAAACAAGGCAAGAAACCAAGGGACTGTTTAATTACTTTGAGATCCAAGGAAGAAAGAGACAAAATATTGAACCTACATTTTCAGAAGGCATTGGTCATTAAAAATTCCCAAATACAGATTTTTAAAGATATCCCTAAATATATTTTGGAGGTAAGAACTCAATTTAAGAATCTAGTTGATCTACTGAAACAAAACAACATTCCATTCAGGTGGGAGTTCCCACAAGGGTTGTCCTTTAACTTCAAAGGGAAGAAAATCAAAATAAAAACAATCCAAGATAAAGAACACTTTTTGGAGAGAAATTTTGAGGACTTTCAGAAAGGAACTGTGAGTGAGAGGGAAGTAACTGAAATTGCAAACTTATCATTTGGACTTAACCCAGCACCAACTGACGAGGAACAAGAACTTGGAGCAATCGGTGGAAAAGATACCCAGTAACAAAAATGTCTCTGCAACTTCTGAGTTGGAATTGCAACGGTCTAAACCTCCCCCGAAAAAGGGGTCAAGTGTTTCATATATTAAAGAAAGAACATTTAGACATAATCTGTTTGCAAGAAACCCACATTGCCAGGATACACAGAAAGCTCCTGACAAATAAGAGATTAGGACTGGAATTCATCTCATCAGATAAAGTCAAGAAAAGAGGGGTGGTGATCTATGTTAAGGAAAAACTGGAACCAAAATTGATATTTAAAGATGAACAAGGAAGATACCTGGCAGTGGAAATTCAAACCCAAGGAGAAAAAATTCTGATTGTAGGAGTTTATGCACCTAATGAGGGGAAGGCCGAATTCTTCAAGAAGTTGCACGAGACCCTAATGGACTTTATGGACTTTAAAATCATAATGATGGGCGATATGAACGGAGTTGTCTCCACAAACATGGACAAAGCGCAAAGGCAAGTAATTTCTAAGGATGGGAGACTACCAAAGACTTTTTTTGAACTGACTGACACCATGGACTTGATTATATCTGGAGAACAAGGAACCCTCTGGAGAGAGAGGGGACCTTTTTCTCTGAAGCAAAAATGACATGGACTAGGATTGACCAAATATGGATTTCTAGCAACCTGGCACCAAGGGTTAAAAAAACAGAAATCTGCCCAAAAACTTGCTCCGACCACAATGCAGTAAAGATGGAAATGAAATTGACAACAGCTGGAACCTTTAGATGGAGAATGAATGACACCCTATTTTGAGATGAAGTAATTTACAAAAAGGCCCAAAAGACACTGAAAGACTACTTCGAGATAAACCTGAGATCAGATGTGGAAAAAAGAATAATATGGGACGCAAGCAAGGCCGTGATGCGCGGTTTCCTAATCCAGCAGAACTCTATAAAGAGGAAAAAACAGAATGAGAGGAAGGAAAAAATTTGGAAACAAATGAAAGAAGGAGAGAAGAAACTGAGATCTAAACCTAAGTCTCAGGAGATTTTAAGGGAAATAAAGTACTACCAGACCCAATACATGGAACTGATGAATCTAGAAATAGAATGGAAAATAAAACAAATGAGGCAAAAGACTTTTGAATCGGCAGATAAATGCGGGAAACTGCTGTCATGGCAATTGAAAAAGAGACAAAAGTTGAATACTGTGACATCTCTCGAGGTAGATGGGAAATCTATTAATAAACCAAATGAGATAAGTAATTGCTTTCAAAGTTTTTTCAAGAAATTGTATGCACAAGGGCCAAAAAATGAACAAGAGATAGAAGAATTTATTAAAAAATATGGATTGTCAAAGATTTCAGAACAAAACAAAAGGATTCTAAATGAGAAAATTACAGACCAAGAAATAGAGGGTGCCATCCAGGACATGCAATTGGGAAAATCACCAGGACCAGATGGGCTGACTGCGAGATACTACAAAGCACTGAAGGAATGGCTAATACAACCATTGAAAGAAGTTTGCAACCAAATCTTGGAGGGGAAAAAGGCTCCCGAATCGTGGAAAGAAGCATTCATCTCACTTATACCGAAGACAGAAACTGAGAAAAATCAAGTTAAGAACTACCGCCCTATATCACTTTTGAATGTGGATTACAAAATTTTTGCAGACATTCTAGCAAAAAGATTTTAAAAAGTGTTGTTAGAGGAGATTCACAAGGACCAAACAGGCTTTCTCCCAGGGAGACATATGTCAGACAATGTGAGGAACATTATAGACATTTTGGAACTGTTGGAGGCTGACATAAATAGAAAAGCAGTTTTGATTTTTGTGGATGCGGAGAAAGCCTTTGACAATATTTGTTGGAGCTTTATGAAGAGGAATCTCCAAGGGATGGGGGTAGGCCAAAGTTTTGAAAACGGTATAGGTGCAATATATTCTGAGCAAAAAGCTAAATTAATTGTGAATGGTGTGGTTATGGACGAGATCCCAATAGAAAAAGGGACACGACAGGGATGCCCAATATCCCCTCTACTTTTTATATCGGTCCTGGAAGTTCTGTTGAATATGATTAAAAGGGACCAGCTGGTTAAAGGAATACAGGTCGGAGCCAAACACTATAAGTTAAGAGCATTTGCAGATGACCTAGTTTTGACTTTGCAACAGCCAGAAGCCAGTACGAAAAGAGTTTTAGAACTAATTGAAATATTTGGTCAAGTAGCAGGTTTTAAATTAAATAAACAGAAGACAAAGGTGCTGGGGAAAAACTTAACAATAGAGGAAAAAGATAGTTTTCAAAGTGAAACTGGTTTGGAAATAACGAAAAAAGTGAAATATCTGGGGGTGAATTTAACATCTAAGAATGTGAATTTATTTAAAGATAATTATGAAAAATGTTGGTTGGAAGTGAAGAAAGATCTTGACATATGGTCTAGGTTGAGACTTTCCTTGTTAGGCCGAATTGCTGTTATCAAGATGAACGTATTGCCGAGACTGTTGTTTTTGTTTCAGACATTACAAATTTTGGACACGATGGACTGTTTCAAGAAGTGGCAGAAAAATATATCTAAA